GAAAAGTACCTTGTATGACAGTTGCAGAAGATTAAGAGTCAGAACGGATGTGCTATAGAGGGTTCGAAAAATACCTTGTCCTTCCCTGGGAGAGTGATGAGTTGGGTGAGGGTTAGTTTTAGCAGATCAATTTTCCGCACTCCGGCTTTCGATGCCTCCCCCTACCTTTAAAGAAGAAGTCGAGATGACGTCCTTCAATGCGTTTTATTCTATGATATTAATTTGTTGTGTGTTCCTTTAACCCCCTGCATAGCCAATATTAGAGTCCTTCAAGACAGATAAATTGCAAGAAAAAAGATCAAAAAGTGATTAACGGATCATCTAATTTCTGTTATCTCACATTCCGTCAATATTTTGACAAACATTGCTTTGGATAATATAACATTACTTTAGAAAATAATCTAGAAAAAATTTCGAGAAGATTTTTTTTAAATTAAAAAGTTTTCCATACGGAAACTTTATTTTCACTGATCAGTTTGCATGGCAGCTACATGTGATAGTGTTCAGCGGTGCCCGCAAATGAGGAGCTTCTTGTGAAGGACAAACGTGTGCAAAATTTCAGATGGATATCTCAAAGTCTCAAAGATATAAACTGATGGGAAAAATTAGGACTCAGCTCTTGACGCTCCTTATTCACATTTCTCCGCAGGCTCTTCCACTTTTCGAAAGTTTAGAACTTAGTTTTAGTTACTTTTCTCAGCTGCTTAAAGGTAGTTGAACTAAATATTGAATAAGAAATTATTTCATTAATAATAATAATATTTTAGTAATTACTTTCTTTGAAGAAGCCGCACATTAAAGTTAGATTTCAATATAAATACCATGATGCCACTTTACCTTTTTCAATTATATTACATTGGTTTATCTTTTCCAGCAAAAAAATATGCAAATTTTTTCAATTTCCCCTCAAAAATAATACTAATTTAAACTTGAATCTGCAATTTGCACCCACCTAAACATTTTATACAATATATATTTATAATACTGACTCGCTCTTGTAATAATATTTAGTAATAGCAAGCTCTGTTTGTAATCGCCAAAATGGCTGTAAACTGAGATTACGGCGATAATGAGTCATGTTCAACAACACACAACTACTTATTAACGCACAATCTATGAGCTAAAGCTAAATACCGTTATAGCGTTTAACATGCCACATAATACAGCCAACCATTGTACCATTTTAAACGATAACAATGCGGTCAAAATAAAATATCTGGAATTTGCACAATGCCCACATGCCAAAACATCAAAATGCACATAAAGCAAGCATGCTATTAGGCGCATGTTCTTACTGGTTCATTTGTTGTGTATAACACGGTGTGTCATATACATATAGATAAATGTATTTGCGCATGCATGCATGTGTATGTGTGTATACATGCATTTCCGACCACCAAATGGACGCATTTGCGAAATTACGAATTTCACAAATAATGCAATGCTGCGTGCAAGGAAGGAAGTTCGACTATCGCAAATTTACGCTTTCGCATTTAACGCTGCAATTTTTTCGGCATTTTCGCCAATTTTGTTTTTTTCTCTTTGTTAAGCATAAATTGCATGCTAATTTTCGCGCTTGTGTTCGAAAGTTTCGAGCAGACCACGCAGACAGGTCGGCTTTCATGTGCGCCACTTGCTGTGTTTCCACGTTTATATACAAATTTTTGTGGATTATTAGCAATACTAAAGAGTCTCACACATACTTACATGTTTAGTACAACAACAATGTATAGCCAACAATGTTGTCTATATAGCGCCTGTATTGGTAATCGCGTAATATTGATAGAGCAGCCGCCATATGAGCAGCCACACGCACATTTTTATTATATAAAATTTCTTCCAAAACTGAGTGTGTGTGTGTGTACTTATGTGTGCTTGCGTGTGTAATTGACTGGCCGCCATTATGGTTCATTGGCTGCGCTGGTCAGTTGGTTAGTTGGTCCATTGAATATTACGCCTATTGGTTTGATCGGTTGAGCGGTTGAGTGGTGTAGCCGCTGCTCGGTTTGACTATTCGACTGACTGCTGCCAGTTTACAGAGCAACAATGCATAGTTAATGTATACATAAATATATATTTATATATTAACGAATAAGCATTCTGGTCACAAGTACGCACAGCATGTTGTTGGGTGTTCGAGCTTTGCGCGGAAATTGACTCATTCAAACGATCACACCATAACGCTTTGGCAGTTCAACAATTTATGGTTGCCATCTACCAAAAGAATATCAACGCGCTTGTATGGCGCTAATGGCTTGACTACCATGTAGATTAGCTTAACACGGAAGTGCATATCAAGCAGCGCACACCAATATTACTATAATACATAGTATACTATATATTATATATATTAAATGTCGATATCAAGTTGTGATTCCTTTTATAAAATGCGTGTGTGTCTCGTCTGTTTATATATATTGTTGTCATACGTATATTTTAACTGCAGAGCATCGCCTAGTGGTTGCAAACCACAAACTGTTCGGTTAGTTGCATGCATTATATTTCAACTAATGCACATTGTGGCATATATTTATTTGTATAGTTCTATGTAAAGAATGCTACTTGCAGCTTTGAAAGCAGCAGAGCTTCGATTTTAAAGTATTTAAATGGAAAATTGTTCCATTCTATTCGAAATTAACTCTAATAGAAGGCAATATTTAATATAAGATGAACATTTTAACCATCAGAAATCGAAAGTTTTTTAGATATACCTATACATAATAGTATTTATACCATATGATCAAATTTGATACGGACTGTGACATATTTTAATACAAATATGTATTCTCGCCTTGAAAATATGCCCCTATTATCCAATATAAGCTTACTAGTGATTAATCCAAATTTTGTAAATAGTTTTGTATAGGTATTTATAGGCATTACCCGGCGAATATTTCAGTTTCGAAAACAGAAAAAATGCCTTTGAGCCAAAATCTGGCGCATATAGTGACTGAGTTTCGCGTTTTTATTCAAACAGTACGAAACAATTATGCCACACTGTGGCCGCTGGCATTGATGTGATGAAAAATCCAAGAATTTTCTGGCCACAAATGCGGTCGTTTTCGACAAACTGCTTCATGTAGCTGCCACATCCAATCTTTTTCAATGAATTGCTTCACGTAGATGGCTCAAAACGGCTAAGCAATATTTCTGAATGTGAATCACAATCCCCAGAAAACAATCTCCATCAACTTGATTTTGGCTGACTTTGGTAGGGTGCTCACGAACGTTATCAAGCCGCTCTTTTGTGTTAGTGGATACTCTTTATAAATGTAATAAACCTTGAGATCATCTGCCTATTTCTTTGATGCTACCACGACGGTTTCCAAGCACTGTTTCTTTAACATTTTCGATGTTATCGTCATTAACAGAGGTGAACTACTCGCATGAGGCAAGTTTTCGATGCCTTTGTGACCTTCACTGAATATTTTGTGCTATTCAAATAATTATTTTCGTGATAAAGCAGACCCTTACATCAGCAGCATTTACAAACGATTCCGTAGTATTGATTTATTTTGGGAACACGAAATTTCAAGCAAACTTGTTGTTAAAAAAAATGTTCAATCCTCAGGCCAATTTTAATATTTTTTTTTTTTGTTTTAATGATATTTGCTGTTCGTGCAAGCAACAACATAGAAACCACATGTACATCCTTTTTTTTTTTTTTTTTTCTGAGTTAATATGATTTGTGAATAAAATAAAATATATGGCATCTATTTTTAGATATCTTATTAGGAGATCATTTCTTATGTGCTATGTATGGTTAACTGTACGTACATATATGACGAACGATCTCACAATATCACTTAGTCAACTTCTGGCAAATATAGAAGGGTTTCACAAAAACATGGTGGTCTTATGACTAAACCATGGCTCTTATACGAGTTTCTTTTAGCAGCTTTTTTTTTATTCTTTGCCTATATTGCGTAGTGTGAGCTCGCCTGAAATGGTTATTCCAGAGTAGATATTAACACGCGCGCAGGTTAAATGCATCAGAATTCGATCAGATGGTGTGATATGCTTCAGTGTAAGACAAAGGAAATATACACTGTCTCAGAAAAATATCTTTCGGAGCAAGCTTAGATATGTAGCTCTAAGTTTGTTCATTAGCATGAAGCTTCTCCTCATAAGTCCGTCAAGAAGCTCAACCAAACACCTGGCAAATGTATGGGAACTTCATATACCATAAGGCTTTTCAAGCAAAGAGATTTTTAGCTCTTAATAATAATAATAATAGTAGCTGAAGAAAGCTAGAAGCTAGTTAATAATTTCTTAGATTAAAAATTGTCTATTCAGTTCATTCAGCTATCAATCTCTGCTGAATATATCATATTTATTTTTGTTTCTCAAAGAAGGGGTTGCTCTTGTCCAAATATTATTAAGTGATTTCAAATTTCCTTCTTGAAAAATATTCACTAATTAAATACATACATACATACATATGTATAATAAATATAGAATTAAAACGAATCTTTTGAAATTATAAAAGAACAATCGCTGATTTCGGTTAAATTTATATAAGAGGACCTTGGTGTTTTAACCTAATATTGATCCTTCCGTATTCGAGGATTTTGACATCAGTTTAGATCTAGCTCTCTTTAGAATAGCGGTGACCAAATCTCACCATTTTTGCCAGAGTTAACTTTCTAAACGTTTAATCCTTTGATGCTGAGCTTGAGAACCCAAACATGTCTGCTATAGCAGTAACCATTTCTGGACTGAGAACATCAACGCTATTACATCTTTTTTATTTGAAAGCTTCTGCATAGATATTTGGCCATGACTTTGTTTTAAGGACACCTTTAGAATTTTAACATTTGTCTAGACATTTAAGAACATTTTGACAGTTATCAGTTCAGGAAATTATATATATACCTCTAAATAACCTGGTTCATTTAAACCTAGTATATAATTTATGCATTAACAACTAACTTCGATTAATTTCAAAAGTCACTTCTAATCTATTTACACAACTCTCTCTAACATTTTACCTCAACTAGCGCTCAAGCAATGCTCGCGATGCCATTCGCTACAACAAAATACCAAATAAATCGGAGAAGAAACGAGGCGGCGGAGGTGGACCACGAAATGCGGCAGCAGCCAAGCTACTCAAAGCAGATGCCGAATCAAATCAGAACGAGGGCGCAGCTAATGATGATTACGACGAGGACGAGGAGGAAGAGGACGATGATGGTTACGGCTATCGCGATGATTGCGACGAAGTGAATGAGCGGTCAGCAATGGATACCGAAGAGGTGTACGTCAACGAACTGGATATGCCAACGGTAGACTACAGAGGCAAAGTAGTTGCAACAGCAACAAAAACAACACCAAAAAGCGCAACAGCCACAGCGAAGTCGGTGGCAGGCAACTCAGCAATGCTGGGTGATATCGACGACATCGAATACTATTGTCGCGGCACGAAAGCAATACTGCAACAACAACAACAACAGCAGCAACAGTCACTAATAACTGGCGCAACGACTGCTGCTAGCGACAGCGTACACGAGATAAATGAGCTGCAACAAATTATGCGTCAGCAGCGCAAAACGGGCGGCAACAACAACAGCAGCAAAAACAACGCCAGCAACGGTAGCCTGAACCGCAATGTGCCACCACGATTGCCATTTCTGAAACGCATCGAAACGCAACGGCAACAACAACAACAACAACAGGTGACGCCAAATGGCGGTTTGAAGCGCTCACCGACAGCGTCGACGGCGACGGCGGCGACAACCAACAACCGTGTGCTGAGCACCAACGAAAGGACATAGGAGTAAAGCACGCGTTGCGTTGTTAACAAGCAAGTAATGTAATTGCGTTTGTGATTGTGTATAAAGCGACAACAAAAACAAAAACAAAAAAACTGAAAATTGTAAAAAAATTAGTAGCTAAAAGCCTTTTATTAGTAAAATGATTTATATATATATAAATTCACTAAACTGAAAAGTAGAAGAAACGAAAAGGTAGAATAATGAAAGCAACTATTTAAGTGGAATTAGTGCGTACTGAGGTATTAGGGTGCGCATAATTATAAATATAAACATATATAAATGAATGCTAAACCATAATAGTAATAGCAATAAGTGATGATATCGGGTACGTTAACAAAACTTTTACAAAAGCCACGATTTTTTATTCGATTTGAAAAGTAAATTTTTCTGAAAAAATTTTGAAAATTACTAAAAAGTTTTAGTCTGAACAGAAACTACGTAAAAGCATGCTACAACAAAGTGCTTTTGCGGATATGTAAAAAAGAAATTAATGCAAATAATTTGTGTTTCTGTTGTTAATTCTATTTCTGTTAGTAATTCAGTTACCCTTTTCTGTGAAGCATTATGTTTGTACGGTTACGTATGCAAATTTTTGAAACAAATAATTTCTCTTTCTGGTCAAATTCAGTTTCCGTTGTTAATTCTGTTTCTGTTAAAAATTCTGTTTTTCTTCGTAAACCTTTTTCTGCTTATAAATTTGTTGCTGATCGCTTCTTGGCTTACACGCATATCTGTCTATGCAGTTTTAACTGCGCTTATTCATATGCGTACATCTCTCTATAGAAATAGGAGCAGAAAACAATAATATGAAAACTTACTTTTGCAACAGAAAACATCTAAATTTTATTTATGGCTTATTAATGGATGTACGAGTATTGCTTGTTTGCTCATTTATTTCGGCCCAATATCTCAAGATTTATGTATGATATATGTTTTATTTTTTTCCACAACAACAACTAAATATTAATAACTACAACCTAAAACAGCAAAAATATTAACCACAAACTATCCACGTGTAAATAATTTAAAAAAAAGTATATACTACATATAAACTTAAAACATATAAACTTTCTAACTGCTTGTGTGCAGACTTTGCAAGCAGAAAATTGAGGTCACCGTGTCACCAGAAACAAAAGAAAAAACTCACTTTGCACTACCAATACTTTCCACCAATTTTTTTCTTGAAAACTTTTATAAAAAAATACGAAATAATATAATAAAATCAAAATTTGCAGTTCACTTGCACCTCTAAGCTAAACTATACAACGCTGCTTTCATTGGTTATAATTTTGTATATATATTTAAATGTAAAATGCCTATTTTAGTTAGCTCTTTTATATATTAAAAATAATATTTTTTTTAGTAATTTTATGGGCTGCTGTAACTTTATTCAGCGCCTGCATCTTTTAGTAAAGCCTATTTTGTTGTAATTTCCTTTACCCTTTATTTCTAATGCACTGTCTGTATGCTAAATATCTTATAAAAATGTTCTCTATTATTTACGTATTACTTTTAATATGCTTAACTGTTCATATATATTTTGTAAAAGTCTAAAAATGTTTTTATGAAATTTTACATACAGTTTATTGCACTTTAATTTAAAAATTATTTTATTTTAATTACTTTAGATATTAGAATTTTGTAAATGTTAATATTATAACGAGAAAAAAATTTTATTTTTGTCTGTACAAAATTTCTTAACTAAATGCAATTGTTGAAAAATAAGAAAAATTTTAATATTTTTTAATTTTTGTCTAAAATCTGATAACTTTTTAAAATTGATATTGTATTCACATACTTGCTCACCATAAAGTATGTGAAAATGTATGTATGTAACGAAAGTAATCAAATTTTTAATGTTCGTAATTTGAATTTCGCCCAAAAAGCTACTTGCACAACTTCTATCTTCATGTTACAAGCATATTCAGTTACAACAAAAGATTTCTGTTAAAATAATAGCCTTTGGCTACAACAACAAACAAAGACAGAAAAAGTAATTTCACTATTATCATAATTCCATAAGCTACAAATTTTCATACATTTATTTCAAAAATAATAAATTTATATGAAAATTCGTATAATTCACTCTTAATAACAGCAATAGTAAAGCAAATGTTATGAAATTCTGTTACAAAAGCAAACATATGTAAAGTTAACATGTGCAAACAATAACGAAGGCACACATACATATATATGATAAAAACAGCGCAGCTGCTAAATATACAAGCTAAAGTTAGTATTCTGAATTCCTTAAGAAGTTCCCTCCTACTTGAATTTGTATTATGTCAAAATATTATCTTCTTTCAACAGAATTTCAATACACAGCACTGTAACCACTTAACATAACAGCGATATGTAAAATCACGCATATACATATTTCTGATATCTTTTCATAAGGTCTCTTATAAGTTATAACGATTCGAAAACATAGCATTGAGAATTGTAAATGTGTAAACTCATTTTGTATGAAATCCAACAACAATTTTTTTAAACAAGTGTAAACATTTATAATTTTACGATTTTACAATGCTTTACGGCGGGTTGTGAGTACCCCAATTATAAAATTACATTTACCGTATACAAAATTAATTTAAAAGTTATGTTAAAAATGTAAAAGGTATAAAAAGTGGTTGCAGCTGTATAAACACCCTTAATATTTTTTTAGTAAAAATCTGTTAACTGGTAAAAGTTGGAATTTGCAGTTTTGGGCATCAAAAAAGTGCGTTACATTAAGTTTCCATACATTCTAAGCATATTTAATTGATTGGTCTCGAAACACGCATTCCACAGAAAAGCAAAAGCGTTAATATTCATAAAAAATTTCCCCGAATTCTCAAGAAAAAACTAATTTAATTAAATGTATATTAAAAGGGCATAAAAAATGATTCCAAAGTTTTAGTAAACTAAATTTGGAGCATGTATAACTTCCTTGCAAGACTCACGAATTTCAAATTGTTTTTGAATACACTCGCCAAACCTACCAGTTTCCCAGAGAGAACTTTGCCGATAAATTTGATATACTTTTTTGTTATTTTTCAATTAAAAGTTATATACTTTTTTAACTAAAAAAATAATAATTAGTAATAATTTTTCTAATTAAAAAAAGAGATTCACATATTTTTCCTTAAGTTGAAAATATAGTTTGTATTGACCTAATATTTGATGATACTCTCCTCTCTTCTTCGACACACTCAGACTTAAAACATAGCGAGCGTTGATATGGACATTGTTTAATTTGTTCAATGAAAATATCGAATGTTATAAAATAGATATAATTTTATGATTGCCCCTTAAGAAAAATTTCCTAACAATTAGGTTTCTTATTAATCATCGATTTGGCTATTTATGAGCAACTTTAACGCAAACTTACTTCAGATCTTACTAAGCTATTTCTATATATTATATT